GGCTGTTAACGAGTAAAGTTACGTCTAGAGTAACTAAGATATCGAGAAAAACAATCTACCCTAACAAAAGTCTATTTTGTTGATTTATTTATGTAACCAAAATGGTATTATTTCATATACACGTTACTCAGCCGATGTCAGGATGTTATTTCTTCTTTCAATTGGAGTTTGGCACAACTGCAAAAACGAATACATGTACATCTTCTAGTTCTGTTGCTGAAATGAGAGTCTGGCATGGTGGACCGATCGAACAAGGACATGTACATGTGAAACGATCAAGGGTCAAAGTTAAAAATACCACTACGCAATCGTGACAAAAAAAAAAAAACCACGGGCGACGCACGACGGCAGATACGGGATTCCATACCCCGGAGTAACGGTAATGAGTCGTTACGCGCCAACTCGAGTTCCCTTTAACTTGATATCATCAAAACACTTCTTATTCATTGGTGCCTACTAAAATGATAAAAATCAAGATCTAGTCTTATTTTCCCATCGAAGTGTAGGAGAAGAGTCAAATTTTACAGCTAAAAAATGATGTCGTAAGTTTTACACGCTGTTGCCGATGAGGCTGCACACCTAGGGAGTACTTACACACAAGGCTGGGTGAACGTCATGCGTTATCTGTCAAAAGGGGGCGCTGTTTATAGCGCTCAATTTTGAGGTCAAAAATTATCACACGAATAAAATGTCAATCGCTCTGCATTAGCGGTTTCTTGTAACCCCATACTTTCTTTTGGCGCTAAAATAGCTTTACGAATTTCCGTAAATATTCATCAGTTCAGTAGTAAGTCTTGGAGCAGAAAGTATAGAAATATAATTCTCTACCCAAGCTTTGCACGAATGGAAGACGATTCGCACTATTTAACTCAAAAGTTGCAATATACGGGCCGTATTTACGTCTATGCAGTACTTCAGAAACCGTCAAAGTAAAATTAGTAGTATTTTGTTGACCTAGTCCTCCATCTTGAAAGTTGATGCGTTGTTTTCACTTGGATTTGGTTGGAATTTTACGTCTCTTCGCGGGGCAACATAGCCACTGCAACCTAGATGGACAGTACGTCCATTATAACACAAGTCAACCGGGATGAGGAACCGCTGAACACCTTCCCAACTGCAGATTCTGGTAGGTATCGACTATGGAGATTGAGATTCTTAGCCCCTAGGGGCATCGTTCACCATGTTCACGATGTTTGTTGTTCGTCAGACTTACTCAGTTACTGCTAATTGAATTAAAATGTGCACACTTACTCATTTGCACATTCATTTGTTCGTTTTGTGGGTCAAGTTGATGTTTGCACTTCTGCAAAGTTCGGTTATCCTAACTTTTAGGACACCTCTCCCGTTATAATTATGTAGGCCCTAGGCCTAACTTCAGACATGTCGGAGAATCAGCCTCTTTCATGCCTTTCATCAGTTTATGGCTTTTTAGCCAAGGTTGGACGTTGTCTTCATTTACACTACGACTGACAGTGTAATGTAGACGACGTCCAACCTACCCGGGCTAATGGCTTTTCATCATCCGTGCATGCCATCATGGACATGGTCATCACCCATCCATCATGTTCAATCATAGTCATGTTTTGTCTGCCATGTCAAAATATACTCTGCCTACATGATGTAGGCACACATGAACATGATGAAGGCCTGAGGTCAGCAGTATGGTCTAGGCTAAGTTTGCCTAAACCTACTGGGAACTTAGTTTTCACATTTTCTCTCTAACCGTGACCATGTTTGTGAGTGTGGGGTCAACCATTTTCTCCACAGATGGTTTGAAAACAGTTCCATGTAGCCTAACTGTTAATGTTAAGGCGATAGGCCTGAACGGGTATTCTTGGTGGTAAACCAGTAGGCTACAAACAGTACTTTACTAGGCCTGCATAGTAATAATGCTTAGCTGTTTGTACATGTGTAGCATGGCAACTAAACATGCTTAGTCAGTGTCCAAGGCCCTACTGCAAGACTTGGAAATGTTACTGCAACAAATCATGTATTCATGTGGTTCCATCCAGCCTAGCCTGCATTATTCATTCATATTCGCAAGATGATAGAGCTCTGATCTCAGAGCCATGAACATGAATCATGGAACAGGTGAAAATGCCTAACATTTAATAATAGTACGATTTGATTTTTAAGTTGTAAACATGATAAACTGTTTATACTGGTAGGTCAGTAGCAATTTTTTTTTAGTGGGGGAGGTAGCAAAAAGAAAAAGTAATCAAGGACCACATTGGGACTGCATGCTGCAATGATAGGCTACGCTCCCAGTCGATCAGAAGAGTGTATGGAGGTTTTTTACATGACGGGCAAAGTCATTTCAGGAAACGTACCACGGTGGAAGCATGTGCATTTTCAAATCTACATGTATTTCCTTTGGCAATTTCACGTACGCCAGACTATTGAGAGACATCGAAGGCATGCACGTTTCTGCACACATCAGTTTAAATTGAGCGCTGACTGTCAAAAATCGTGTGACTGAAAATCCTCTATTTCACAGTTACATGGTATTGGTTCAGTGCTGTCATATACATAAACTAATGTACAACCATCTCAGGAAAAAACACATTTCAATGTAAGCAACAAGGACTATTGAGGTCGCAAAAGCTTATGTTTGACATAATCACCATTTGCAAGAAGTTACATCTGCCTAATTGAGTAAAACAAACAAGTAGCAGTGTCCTGAAGCAAAGCTAAGATTGCCCTCTTTAATTGACTCACAAAGGTTTGTTGTGAGGCAGTGGATATTGGACTGTGAACTGGTCCGCGATTGTTTTTCCCTGTTTACCAACATGATACTCAAGATGCACTGTGAGTTTATGATTTCATTGTTGTAAACCTGTATTCCTGAGATGAAATTCAGACCTACATGTAGTGCAATTTTAACTAAAAAGAAAACAATTTCTAGGGTTATAATTCATGGTGATGAAAAGAACATGAAATATCTTGCAATTAAATGAACGATTCAGTTTGAAATAAAGGATAACATTGCACTTTTTGGGTTAAAAAAGGCTCAAATCCAGTGTGACGTGGCTGTCATCCAACTAGCACTCTACAAATAACCCTCTTTTTCATGATTTTGTGATGGTAGAGTTCTGGGGAATTTGCATCAAAAATCCTACCCATGTTGAATATGCTTGGTTAACATGTACAGATTAACACACAGCCCAATAAGTCTAACCGTGGGAATAAACAGAAATTGTTTGAAGTGATAGTAATTTCCTCAATAAAAATTACCCTTTTTTGCCAAAAAAAAAAATCAGTTATCGTATTAGTTTGCTAGGTTTTCATTTTGTAAGATTTCTGAATACTAGCGAAGTGAACTGAAAGGTTTCAAGACTGCGGAGACAAATGAAGCTTCAAAAATGGCATGTGAACTTGTTTGTGTAACACATGCTATTCTTGTTACTGTATTTTTAACAAAGTAAATCAAAAGTAAAAGCACAGAGGTGTCATTTTCTGATCTAGGTCCCTGGATATTTTATGCACCACAACTTGTTCGGTTCAGTGCATACCAGCACATGTACATGTACATACTGTGTACTGGCCAGTCCCAACACATATGTACATGTACATGTAACCCCCTTTCCCACCGCTGGCCAGCAGTTCATATACATGTACTGTACATTGCATTGATCACTCAAGGCCAGACGTGTTGATTCACGTTGTGCGAAATGGACTCAAGTTGTACATGTACTTGAGTCACTTTTGTTTTGACTATATTGGTGATTATCAGCTTTGACTTTTGCTTTGACTTGGACTTCCGGCTTGCTGCCGACTCTCCTTACATGTACATTACGAGCTACTTTCTACGTTGGTCTGTCATCCAAATACACAGACCAATGGCAAATATCAATACAATTGTGTAAAACTATTATTTGGGTTCCAGGGACTCCAACTATCACAAGTAGAATTACTCTGTCGTATAGCAGCAGCTTTCATGTGAATGATACAAGGCACATGTTTTCATATATTGAGACTTCATGGACCTTGTTTGTTGTGCATCAGAATGAAAGGAAAATGGAGCCGGACATGTACAGTAGTACGTTTATGCATTCTGTACTTTAGGTATTATATGTATTTGAAATGCCGAGAAATGTGTAAGTTCAAGTAAGCAATTTATGATTTTATGGGGTGTAACTCATGATGCTGATATTTTCCTGAACGTACTAATAAAATTGTAGGGATCCAGGCACAAATACACACGTACATGGACATTGTACAGTGTAGTTTCTCGTCAAGGTTTCCCTACATGTACACGTACACATGTAGGTGCTAGAAGTAATGCCAGAACTTTGGTCATGAAGTCCAGAGAACATGTACCGGTATTGTTCTCCAACCCATAGTAGTAGCCTAGCAGTCCACAAAGTTTTATTCCACTTCTGTTCAAAAAGTCATCAAGTTTTAAAAACTCGCCAAGTTTAAAAAATTGAGTACTGCAATGACACTTCACCTTGAAAAAGCATTTTGTTTATGTTATCGCCATTTCAAGTTTGGATGTCAAGGGCAAACTTTGCCCATAATGGCCAAAATTTAAATGTAACACAAGGAATCCAGGTGACGCATCTCAGAACTTCATTTTAACTCTAACCTTACATAATACTACAAATTATTACTTCTTGTAAATTGTTGTAATCAGTGCTGCCGCTTGTAAGAGGACGTGACCACGTTGTTCTCTGAAGCCATAAAATACAATAGAAAAGACAATGTACCATACAGTGCTGTGGCGCTATGAATGCATGGCTTTATTGTTCTCTGCACAAGTAACAATGGAAGTAACCTAGCCAGAAGTAGTAATTTGTAGCGCTAGGTCCTTCAGGCTCAGGCTACTACAGTAAAATCGCGATAACTCAAAGTCAATTAACTCAAAACTCTGCTTAACTCGAAGAATAATTTATTCCCACTGAAAGAATAGGCTTTTATGTACAAAAACATATCCGTAACTCGAACTGCTCACGTTGCCAGATTCGTTTACCTCGAAAAGAAACCGTCGCCAAAATACTTCCAGAACGTGTAAACAGAACACGGGTCTAGTTTTGAATCATTTCTGACACACAAGTCATCGTAGGGAGATTTACGGTAACTGTGTCAGTGTATAGGTAGATGTTATGATACACATCATAATAATGACTTAATTTCAAAAGAAACAGTACTGTAGTAATGAGTACTGTAAGCCAAACAATATGCTTGGCGGTTAGGGTTATTGGCCCGCTGTGCTGAGATTTGCTGGTGACTACCCTGGTACATCGTAGATTTAATTTGCTTATCAGCATATATTGAAATGTCAAGAAGGATGCAGAACAACAAGGTTTTAAAGAAAAACTCAGGAAATTTCTTTAAATGCAACTGAATAACATACATGTAGGCCTACATGTACATGTATCCTGCATTGAAATCCTGTGCATTGGAGTTACGGTACTGAAGTACATGTTCATGTACCCATAGTGAGCTGTTTATAGTGATATTACGGTGTTTTATCAAAAATCATTGTTGCAGTCTAAAAGGATAATTTGCACACAGTCGTACAAAACAACAAGAAATAATTAAACACTAATACATTCAGTGAACTTGTTAAAACCATTACCAGATACAGTTAAAGATGACAATTTCCAATATTTCCGGGACAGAAACCACATCTCCTGAACAGAGCCATAGTACCGACTAAATTAGCTATTATTGGAGAGCCTAATGAGGGACTGAATAGGACTAGTTTAAGAGTAGTTTTAGACCTCTCTGTTCTGCCCATAATTTGTTGAAATGGGTTAGGATTCCCCAGTCTCGCAGATGTTGAATGAACATGCTGCACTTAGTTTATGGTAGCCCCAGATAATTTAGCCAGATCCATGAAGCACAATTGTATTGTACTGTGTCCCACTTGCGGTTCCTTGTTAACATTACAAATTGATTTTTGTGACAACAGAGAAACCTGAGACCATTAAAGTTGACCTGGGGTTGAGGGTAAAACCACATATCACTTTGGTTTTCCTGCTTCAGTTTACCCTCCTGTTGGCCACTGGAAAAAATAAATTTGTTCAGGTGTTTTAAATATTGTGCTGCTTTGGATTTCTAGTATCAAGTGTGGTTGAACAGATAGCTTTTTGTTGTAAAATTTATGATTTAATTGTACATTTATATTTTCAGGAAAAAAAATTACGTTAAGAAAAATTTGTAGCATACAGCATGTTTACTGCTTAGACTTTTCAAAGATTTTACAAAATTTTTGAAGTTTGAGGCTGCGTCTGTCATGTTACTGTAAATGTGCTTACTGTAAATGTGCTAAGCAGGAGATTATACCCATTGACATTGAGTCAGAGTTCCAATTTTGGATATCTTACCTGGTAGTTGATTGTTTACTTGTTTAGAGTCCGGAAGTTGTTGATTAAAATTCTACTTTGTTCAATCAATTACCAAACAGTGACTCACAAATGTTCAACTGGACCAAGTGCATACTCGTACATATGCGTCATGAAGCCGCTTAACCCCTTCGCGCTGGGACACGGCTAGACACGCCGTAAAAATTGAAATCCTCAGCCGGCTTGTCAGCTATTATTTTCGGCTCACGCTCGAGCGAACACAGTGAAAGAAGTCAGACCCTGGCTCTTGTATATATGGTAATTGGTCTTTGTGTGTAGCCCAGAAATGAAAAGATTGAATTTGCATCATAATCACCAGCTTCTCGATAGTCCCCACTTTGAAAAGAGGCAACGGGAATGTGGAAGGGTGAGTAGAGCCGCATGCCACCGAACAATCAGCCTTTTCACCGTGTAATTCAAAGCGTGCAGAGCACGCAGGGCCACAAACCGAGAATTTGCGGTTTGGCAGGTGGCCTTCGTGGCCAAGCGAGGCTGCAACTCTTGGAGTCGGCTTTCGGAAAGAAATTCCCGGCGTGAAGGGGTTAAGAGATATAAGCACAGGGAACAAGTTTTACTTCTGGGGCCTTGTCAGATCCTGACGGAAATATACATTGTAACAGTGCTGGAACACCACATGCCTCAACTGAAAAGGGGGGCCGGTGTCCATCGCCATCACTTACAGATCAATATCATGCTTGGTTAGCCTTTCATGTAAAATCCTGTGGTCAAATTGACATTTCGGGGAGGGGAGGGTCTGTAGCCTACTGTCATGGGCTAAATGGTATCCCCCAAGAGGGAGTGTTTGTTAATGACCTGGAGTGGAAACTGAGGGGGTTTGTACCTCTTAGGAGGCCAGATTGACTGTTTTAAACTGGGTTATGGACTTCTGGGCTTTCATTATCACTGTAACATTTATGTCTATAGAATTAGTCTGTAAATGGAGTCACATTTTAGTTGATTGACCTTTTATTGTTTTGAAGAAGTGGGAAGGGGGAGACGTCACAGTGCTGGTCCTGTTTTCAGCAAAACTGATGTTGCCGTACTTGTGTGCTTGTGCATTAACTGCTGAAGAACAATGTATCCTTAACAAAGTATGCCATGATTGAAAAGACTGTTCCACACTTGGTTCGTACTGTACGTGCAGTTCATGGGGTCTACATGTGGGTGATATCCATGGATGACGCGAATGTCTGTGACTGTAGATGCTTGAGATCCATTGTTCACGTACATGTCAGACTCCTTAATGGGCAATCAGAGGTAAATGGAGAAACCTGCATCATTAATTCATTGCCCCCCCCAGAACACACTACGCAATCTGCGAGAAAGTCAGCTGTACATGTAGTGTCACAAACCAATTGTGCTGATTACCTTCATACATTGTACATGTACACATTTTACACGTAGATACATGTACACTGTACATGTGCGTGGTCATGTAATGTTCACCTTCTGTGCTTGAAGGCTACCGGTAGCTGCTACCTTGGTTAACCTGTCAGGTATTGTTGTGCGGTTACCAGAGAACGTACAAAAGACTATGGACCTTACATTGTATTAGCATTCCTGTGGCTAGTGGTCAAGCCATTCAAATAGCTTTATTATGGAATCCAAGGTGACCACAAGAAAAGAATCAGCAATACAGCACATGTACATGTATGTGTACTATATATGTATGTGTATGTGGTGTCTTTGTACATGCACATACAAGTGTGAGTGAGCATGTGTCTGTTTTGATTGTTATTTATTTGATAACTAACAATGGTTTAACTGCCACTTACAGGTTCTGTAAAACATTGGAATACAATTACAAACAATCCAATTATTTATTACAGAAAATCTTTTAAATTCATCAACATGTAATGAATACAGTTGTCACATACATGTACATGTGTACTGTATAAAAAGACATCAGAAAATAGACGAAAAACATGCAGGGTAAAATACAACATACATGTACATTTCCTAGTAAATAACCCAACAGACACCCCTGTCCCAGACAAACAGCTTCACACTACTGACAGACAGCCCAACAGACCAGACCAACCCAACATCGTCCTGACAAATAGCCTAAACAGTAATCAACAGAGAAACAGTTTATTTGAGATGAAAATTCAACCAATGCACATGTGCCTGTGTGCCTGTAACAACTAGAACTGGTTTGGTACTGCTTTTTGTATTATAATGTACATGTACATGTAGTATGTGGTCCAGTGGTATACAGGTGTACATGTACATGTACATGTATGCTGTTAATTTTAAGAGCAAGCCTCGCGGTTGCTTTTAAATGCTTTAAGCTTTTGTGCTCATGTACATAGCATTCTGTGATTGGGCAAAGGTCTGATTTTGTCTTTTTGTGTTTCAAGTGCATTGCTCGTTTGTGTGAATGCACTTTGTACTCTTGCCCATGTGTTTCATAAGGTTTCAGATCTCAGCTACCGTTCAACTTAGTACATGTTATCTACAAATTTAAATTAAGAGAGTCGATGGTGTGGAACCTATATGTACATTATGAGATGTCTGCAGATCATTTTATGTGCAATGCAAGTGTTGCCTGGAAGCTACATTGTACAGTGTACATGAATATGGCTGCATGTGCAGTTTGAGTATTTTATGGCTGATGTAATTCTTGCATCTTGTCTTGTCCCCTATCTCCAGCACCAACGACAGCGAGGAAACCGAGGAGTCGCAGTTTACTCAGTTCGTTCTTCTGTTGCTTCGGGTCAACGGGTCGAACACCTCCCACAACAGTCCCACCTCCAGAGGAGAATGGACAGAAGGTACATGATGCTCTCACATTTGTTTATATTTTAGATTCAACAAAATGCTGAAAGTGAAAGATTTGTTGGTTCTACTTATGTTTCACTCTTTCTCTGTTCATTCTGTACATTACTGGAAAGACAAACTCTGGTCGAGTGCAGGCTGAAAAAAGGGTCCCCCTTTTCCAATTCAAATGGACTTTGCAAATTGCCTTTCAGTTCCGCTGAGAACACCATAAACTCCACTTCAACTTCAGCAGCATAGTACAACCACCCTCTAGAAAGATTAAATAAACTAACATTTTTCCCAAATACTATACCGGTACATGTATACATGTACAAAGCCTTCGCTTTCAGTTCAATACATACAGCCATCCAATTCCAGAAATTTCCTGTGTAATTACCCATGTTCGGGTGTGGACAAAAATCAAACAGTGTTTACAAAATGGGAAACGTGGCTTGCAGTTTCTTGAATGCTGTGCACTGCACTTTGTACTGTACACTTTTTACCATCCTGTCTGCAGTTCGCACTTGTGAGACTGTACATGTATATTGTAAATTATGTAGCATGTAGCTGTGTTGGACATGTACATGTGATTTGTGTGAGAAAATATCAGCATAATTGTATTGTGAAATTCCTAAATGTTTGCAAAACAGCATGTACATGTGCAGTATGGTACACATATGCACATGCACCAGAGTGTACTTTGTGAGACTGGTTTTGTAGTAAGTTAAGAGACATGACCTTACTTTTCTCTATGGCAGCTTTTTTGGGGGGGGGTTGATGCTACAATCACATCAATTATGTCTGTGTATGTATGCTGACTCTGTTTCACTGACCTGCATACTGCATTTTACTATTGAGATCTTTAACAGATGTAACAAATTTGCAGTTTCTTTGTGAAGTTTAAGAGCATGGTGTAACAGTTGGTCATTGCTACAGAAAGATATTGATAGAAATGTCTCTGCATCATCCCCACTCCTTCCCTAACCCCCCCTCCCTGAGCCTCCCCCCACCCTGAACTCCATGTGTCATTTTCACTGCATTGAGTCTTGCAAACACTTACTGGTAATTGCATACACATACATGTACAGTGTTTGTGGCTGATGATGTGGTTTGCTGTGCTTGATTTCTTGAACTGTGTCCATTTCCTCATTTCAGCTGCATGAACCTGCATCAAGCTATGCCCCTAGCTGCCCGGTAGGTGGTCGTTTTTTTTTTTTTTTTGGTTTTTAAAAAAATATTTTAGACTTAAGTGTAAACCGTCTGAGGGGCGTACATGTAGATAAATTCCAAACAGCCACAAGCATCCATCAAGATTGTAAAAATATGTTTCACCCCAAATTTTTTTTTTGGAGATAGGGGGACCTACACGTACATTAACATGTAGTGTGTAAGTCTGCATGCCATGCATTACATGATATGAGTTTCTGTTATCTCACGGTTGCATCTGTTCCAGTGTTTGCAATTTCATAGTGAGGGGAGGAGGTCTTTACAAAGTAGTCATTCACATGCCCCATGTTGGATGAAATATATAGAAACTTTGCATCTTTTTCAGGGGCTGATTGTGTGGATGACCCCTGGTTCGTGTGTGTGTTTGTGATTTCAAAGCACGAAATTAGTCCCAAAAAGTGCTCGGACAAAATGTAACACAATTAATTTTGTTCTGCCATTATTTTCCTGGTTCTACCAAAACTGATCATGCAGCCGCATTGAGCAATCCTTGTTCGGGCGCAGGCTGAAATGAATTTTTTTTTTTTTAGTTTGTGCAATCAGGCAGGCCATGTCATAAATTTGCTTGCTCAAATTGGATCAATACTTGCCAAAGATTCTCAGAATCCATGATTACTGTTATTTAACTAAGGCCTACTGCATACATGCAGTCTTTTATTAGGCCCCAAAAATACATGATGTAGTTGTGCTGTGCATGCACGCCTCTCAAAAATTGGGTCGGTAGGTCGGAACATTTTTTGTGTTTGAGGGCAATTTTGTGCTGATTGAATGGCATCAATGGCGGCGACAGCCTCCCAAAATTATCTCATAAAGTGCTGAACACCTGTCTTAATGTCTGTGTAAAAATGTCTACCTACGACAAGTCACAAGAAAATTATGAACAATTCACACAATCACGATGGCAAACTGGCCAACATTGTCCGTGTATTCGCATGGTAAGTGTGCGTGATGCATTTAGACCAGCGGGCACTAAACCTTGTGCCATGAGCAGGACAACCTCAAATTACACTCATGAACACAGAAAATACAGACATAAATAAGAGACCAAGTTCTGTAAATTAACTTGCAGAAAACCTCAGGCAACATACATGTACATGTAACATCGATGTCTTTCCTGCCTGCTGCCTTTTTGCATTCGCGACGTGTACGGCCGATGAAGAGTGTTTATGTACAGTACATTCAGTACATGTACAGTACAGACTGGTACCGGTTGCTACAGTTCCATCACGCATTCTTTTGCACGGGTGCTGTGTGGTGGGAACCACAGCAGCTTCGTTTAATGCAGAGAGTTTCGCGCACGTGTTTTCACCACTGTGACAGTGCAAAGTATTATGGGGCGATTTCATGTCTGTGCGAGTAAAGTATACACGCATGGCGCTAGATGACATGGGCCGGTGATGAGCGATCAACCCTGATGAATACCTTGGGCGTAATAAACGTAATTCTAACATGAAACTATTAATAAATTGGACGCCATAATCCCATATACCGGTACATGTATTGTGCTGATATTTTAAGAGCTGTTATTGATATGTTGGTTGGACAATTTGTCTGAGCATCTTTGATTTTGTTCGGACAAACACAATAAGTGCTTGGAAAATGTCCAATGTCCAACCGTAATTTCACGCTCTGGATTTGGGGAGTTCAATCCATCAACAGCACTGTACATGTACATTACAGTATGTGTTCAAGTACAGATTGGTGAAGCATTAGACGTTGAATCCACCCCTGGCAATTTTCTTCACATTGCCTATTGATAAAACGTATTCTACATTATATGTACATGTACCTCTAGGGATGTCGAAACAAGGGGGATATTCCATGGATCCGGGAGCCTCAGGATATGTGCACTTACTTGGAGCTTCCAAACATTTTACCTCCATGAACATCATTCAACACTAAAATTTCACAAATTTGTTTCCATCCTGCTTTTCTGACCTGAGTAACTCAAAGGCAGTCTGAGTAAAATGATTTATTGTTACCCCGGCTGTTGCTGCTGTCTCGCTACACATGACATCACTTTCATAGTTTTGAATGAAACCCTACGCATGTGCAACACATATAGGGTGCATAGTGAACCTATTAATGCCAGCAGTTATGTGTACTTTCTCTGATTACATACACATTGCACATGTTCTCAAATAGTCTGTGCAGTTCCGCAGGGTGTTAGAAGGGGGCTGTGTAAGGTATTTGCATTTTGTGAAATGGAAATGTACCTCATGTGTTTTCCAGCTGAGAAGCTGTACCTTGAATTACATGCGGCGGAACTTTGAATGCTGTGTAGTGATTTATGCCATGCACTGTGAGCAGCAAGGAAATGCGACCAGTTGTAAATACTCCATGTGACACAGGACACCTTGTCCCCATTCGCCTCTGATTGCTGGTTGTGGCAGATGGTGCTTTCTAGTGTCATACAAAGAACGTGATGTATTTTATAAAGATTAGGGCCAGAAGGGATTTGAACTGTTGCTTGACATATTAACCCGTTTGTGTGTTTTCATTGAGGTTTTATACTCATTCACTGCACTTACTGTTTTTACTGTCCACCTAAAAATACCTTCATGTCACTGTGAACCAGGCGTACTTGGCAGCACATTTTAAGCACATATACATAATATGTACAGGTCAGTGCTTGGATCACCTTCCCAAAGGCAAATATTTTATGTATAATTTAATAGCAAAGACAAATTTGTAACTTGAGAATATTCCCATTTGATTTGCATGCAGACGTTAGACCACAGTTGCACGTACATGTACATCCGTGGGAATTTGTGTCCAGGAGTACATTTCATGTGTGCTTTGTACAGGTACTAATGGCTCGTGTACCATGAAGGCCATCAGTCAGGCGGCCGAGAAAGTCAGTTTTCGATTTTCACAGTTATGATATCCTCATTGATGGAAATTTCAGTCATGCATGGTCCTGAATACAGGCTTCAGTTGACAATCTTGAACAGGCAATACAGGATACTGTGCGTATTTGAAAAAAAAAACAAAACTGTTTTGCAACACTTGTTGAAATAGGTATGCATGTAAATGTACATGTACAAAAAATGTGCACGCTCATTGTCTGGGGTTCAATGGAATACATTAAGCTTGCCGGTTCAACCAGGACCATTAATTTATATTGCACTTTACAGTGACACTGAGCAGTGTCTGTGCTCTTTAAATGTACAGTACATTCAGTGCAACTTGCCAATCTTTGATATTAACTGTCAGCAAAGACATTCTAGCAGCGCAGCATGGCTGCATGGGCATTTTAATTAGTTCTACTATGTGAACAACCCTGCACCGTATCTCATGTGGAATGTGAAGATCGGCCTAACGGAACTTGCAAGCGCAGTGCATACGAGACAGGAGCATATTGCCCTTGGAACGATACACATCTGACGCTGCAGGTCTCGTGTGCGCTACCTTCACATGCATTTAAGCTAGCAATTTGTTTTTGTAGTACATGCATAAAGATTGCTGAAAGACAGATGTTATGAAAGTCTGTGCTGTGAGGGGAGAGGAGGGAAGGGATATTGCAATGGGGCCAGTTTATGCAACAGTACATGCTCCTCATTATAAGGTCGATCAATTAGACGTAATAAAGTGAGTGCTTCTGTGCTAAAAACAAAGTGCAAAACTTGCTCTCTTGAAGCTGAATATTAAATGGGGATGGGGCCAAATGCAGATGACGCTTCTTATCGACTTTATTCATTGACATTGAAAGCAAGGTTAACTCTTCAGTTCTGAATGTTCAGAGTAGAAATGAAAGCAATAAAATGAAATCTCTTGACAATTAGCACTTGTACCTGTCAACTCTGATGAATACTTTCAAATTCATGGTTGAGCCATAATGCACCTTAGTGATTTAAGCCAGATTTAGAACACTGCAAGGAAGGCTTGGAATGCATGGAAATTATAAAACAGTCTGGTGCCATCCTAATCAACAGTTTGCAATTTATGAAACAGATTCAGGGAATAAGATCAAAAATGGCTTCAGGTTAAACCAGTGGTCAGTGATTTTCTGTGGAAAATACATCATACATGTAGATCACAGTCGAGGGTACATGTAGATTGTAACTCTTTTGGAAGCAAACAATTTCCAATGCCTGTATATGCAGCATGCACATGTTTTCATTTTTAGAACAGGCAACTCAGTATAATGATATTGTAAATGTTTCAATTCCAGGCATGATTTATTTGTGCCTGTAATGTACAAGTACATGTATATCTCATACAATATGTTATTTTAAATTTGAACTTTTCTGACCTTTAGTATACATGTAAATAGTCAATACATGTATATGTACTTCATAATGATGATATGAGGTTTTGAAAGTAGTGTTACATGAACGTAGATTTTCATAACTGTGGACTGACCTAATTACGTCACCAACACCACAAAGTAGCACTCAACTGCACTTGGGTGCTACTTCCTGAAAACCGGGTTTGCAGCAATTTCCGTTTCACGAAATAGCATTCAAGTGTGCACGCGCACATCGTACACTGATGCATAATCAAACGATTATTGTTTTCACGAAGTAGCACTCATGTATGTTTTGTCAATATAGCATGGATAAAAATGCTTGGAAAGGTCTAAAATGATTTGATCATGCTCTTAAAACTTGTTTTAACTGTTTAAATTAAGGAAAGGCCTATTCCTGAAAACGACAATTCACGGAACACGTGCCGCACGGCACCGAGTGCTACTTCGTGAAAATGAAAAAACACATTTCTGTGAAATCCGCGCTGAAGCGGCACACACATCTAGGGATGAGTAGTACTTCGTGGTGTTGATGACAATTATTCACTCAGTGAATTTGTGTTTTAAACTGAGAACAAGAACAGGTAAATTATTTCTGGCTTGACTACTACATTTACATGTACTTGATCTCTCCTATGAGATGCAACAACTATCAGTATTTAATTTCAAGTGAACAATTTGTGTAAATCTTTTTTTTTTTTTTTTATGTATCTAATCACTTTTTTTCCCCTGTATGTTTCTTTCCATCCACAGACCACGCACAAATACCTGTTGCCACCGTTACGACCAAGTGACGCCCATAAAAACTGCATAGTCATCGATCTCGATGAAACACTTGTACATAGTTCTTTTAAGGTGAGGGGTAATGAACATGTCATTTACACGCCTTTATTGAGATTTCTGTCTTAATGGCAGATTTCCAGACTTCAAATGAAAGTAAAGTAGGTTCATGAATGGATGTTCCGTTTCAACTCTGGGAACGTGGAGTCTCAGAGTTGCCCGATGTAGTGAATGCACCTAGGCATTTTTTTTCCATGGCCTGAATTTCAAACATATTGTTTACTCACGGTATCTGGTGCACACTTAACAATTGTTGACTGCCCATTTCTACGATATGAAGTGAAAACCCGAGAGATGCAATGCACCCAAGGGTGTTCAAAAGGCCATATTCCGCATCCCAGGAGTCAACAAATTGTTTGGCCATATCTCTGTCTTACAATAAAGAAATCTTTGAACATTGACAGTTAGTGGTCCCTGCGATATCATGTACATGTACACCCCGGGATGCATGCATGCATGGGGCAATATCACTTAACGGTAGCTGACATGTTGTCAAACGGTGGGTGTGACATGCGATTATGTCAGTCGATTGTTCTTGGACAGTGGAGAACAACTAGTCTAGACAGAGGTACGACAATACGTGAACAATTACGCAATTACAGGTTCACATAGAAATCAAATCAACATTTATTTCCATGATGTCATCATTTACTACAGGATCATGTGTGTTCTTCATTACATAATAAAACATAGATAAATGAAATATAACCACAATTATCTTAAATGAAAATTTTGCACATAATATTTGAGTGATGGCAACATGAAGGAAAGTGGTGAAGTAATGTGCTTTTGTACCCTTCCCTGGGACAGGACGAACACAAGACTCAAAGCAAGTAACATATACTTTCAAAGACAAAACGATTGAGAGTGAGATCCAAATAAAAATAAATGAATTAAATTTCTGTCTCTGCATAAGAAGTGATTATTGTTTTCTTCAATTCTTTGTCAAAGGAAACCACAGTTTAATATTCTTTTAATTTACCATCAAGCCCATTCCAGTATTTGACACCATGTTGAAATGGACTGTTTCGAAAATGAGACGTTCTGTTCTGTGTAAAAATGTGATCTGCATGTACAGCTGTTGAAACCAGCCCCTCACGGAAGCATGTTCCTCACTCTCACCACAGGCCAGTTCACTGTCCGTGTCACAGCCCCTCATAAAACTTTCCCTGTCATACATAATTTCATGAGGCATTTCAATTTTACACAGGTGGTTTCCTGTGAAAGTTTTTACCAGCCCGCATCAAAATATTAATGTCTATATGATTAGCTAATTAAAAAAGTTCCTGAAGTGCAGATCTCTGTACACATTATTACATGTACGGTGTGTGTGCATGTACATTGTAACCACCGTGAATTTTTGGTTGTTTGGAATAGAATGTAATTGATGAACTGGTGCAATTTTGTTTCCAAACGGGCACAGTTTGTTGTCCCTCATCCCTTTCTGCAGTATATTTTTATTTCCTGATGACAAAACTCCCTTATCAGTGGAAGGAAGAAAAAAGCATACATGTGATTCTACATGTACAAGTGATGTTTCTGGAGTTGATGTACGTGTATGGACATGTATTTGCCTGTGGTATACATGTATAGCATGCGTGCCAGTAGGCTGGCACCGCACACTTGAAATGTAATATGGCTCCCCACACTGATTGCATCCTGGTCTAACCAAGAAGTGGCAGGAGATCAGTGACTCATGTTGCTCCCCCATGGCGAACATCATGTACAGATACATATACGTGTACATGTGCATGTCTATGCTACACACCAGGGCTCGAGATTGCCATTGAAGTGCTTGTGTAATGCAGATGAAATCTAACCAAATGCAAGTTACATGTATTCTCAACTCTAGCTTGCGCTGTGCAAAAGTTGGAAAAGTACCAAAATAGTTCGCTACTGTTACATATTTCATAATGACTACCAGTATGATAAGAATAAAACAGAAAAGAATTTTTACAAAAAGTGTTTTACTGTAACTTTTCTGTTTATCTTCGGTGTTCCCCAGCCATCGGCTGATCAGAACACCTGGAAATGGCGCAAATAACTTTTGGGGAAATTTCAAGGCCTGCACATGTACATCTACACGTACTGTACATGCTCATAAGCTATTTTCATGCGTATGTGTAGTGTACAGTACATTCATACATTTTAATAAATGTGAACATGTTGCTTAGAACTGCATCACAGAGTTATCCTCGAGGGAAATTTTTTTTATCGATGTTGACATGTACATGTAACTTGATACTGCAGTTCCAAAATTTTTTTATTGGCAATAACCAAGGGAAAATTGTTGTCTGTGGTACTCTGTTTGGTTGCTGCCTAACAGTAAACATGTCAACTTTCTGAGTGACTTCCTCTTTGAACTGCTTGTCATATTGGAAGGCAAGATGGTGCATTCCTATTAGGAAACATTGGAAAAGATGTATGCATGTACACACGCGTGCACCTTGGGGAAAAAGCTCTCCATGAAATCACCATTTGCATAGTAACCTCCCACACGGCATAACCAATCATTCCACATCAAATGTCCATTCGTACGTTCTGAGGTTTCTTGCAAACCGCACAGATGCACATGTAACTACTATTTTTATCCGAGCTGCGTGCGGTACCATACTTGTATCCCATTCCTATAAATAGTCCTTGCTACTGTGTGTATGTGCATAGTACACATGTACATGTACAGTTAGACTGTTCGAGTAGCTGGGGTGGTAAGCTGGAACAGGCATAAATGTTAAAGCAATATCGACTGTACGAGTGTGCCCAGTGCCTTTCCCATGGATGTTCATCCTCTTCCACATGTACGTGTGTTCAAAGTCACATTGTATAATATTCACCTGTGTGTCTGCTAGAAACCATAACAGTTTTCTGTGGGCAGCTGCCGCTGTTGGCGTGCTTTGCTGAACAGAGCTGGATTCTAGATACATGTTCAAGATAACGTGGTGGCACACATGTTTTCATGAAATACCAGTGTGGACACTCCTTTCTTCTCATGCAGTTGTCAAGTTCGGTGAAATAACTAATTTCTGTCTTGAGCTGTGAAAACTATTTTGAGCTGGATTTTTTTTGTTGACGGTCTCCTGAACTCTTCCTTTTGATAATCTGATAACCCTGACCCCATATTGCCTCTAAACCTTTTTTTTTTAGAGAAGGAAAAGCTTGAGTGGACCTGGACTTTAGTCCACACAAGATTCACACAACCTAGTGCACATTATGTCTTCCCTTTTAATGTTCTTGGGTCCCTACAAAGACCAGAGGGCAAAGTTTACACCTGTAGGTTGTATGGTATACATGCATATTCATGTACATGTACATGTATTACATATGTCTGCACAAGAATTTGGGAACTCTTGTTTACATGTATACAAACTTGAAGACATTCACCTACATGTACATGTTTATGATAGTTGGACTTATAACGTGTTAGTACATGCTGTTACATGTACATGTACATGCAGTCCTATAGAGTGACCTGTTGGTAACTTACAGGGCACATGTACTGTACATGGGGGGTACATGTAGGGCACATGTACTGTACATGTATGTACATGTACATACATGTACTGTCACTGTAAACCGTGTACCAGTGGTGCAGTACCCTACACTGTGTTGTCCAGGCCCATTACATTACTAAACCCTTCTACATGTAATTTGATTGATGTCAACCTATTCAACCATTTGTCATGCTTAAAAAAAAGGCACTGTGGGCCTGTCACAATCAACAACTCTGTCTGACTCTGTCATGTGTTGTATGCCACAGATCAGGTACATGTACATGTATAGTACGTTTACATTGTGTGCCATGTTCCCAGGAAATGCTAATTATTGTAATTGTGGTTTACTGAGTTGTTGAACTTGAAATCGTTACAGCTTTAGACTGTTGATGAATATACATGTACATGTACGTACATCATGTGTGTAACTTAAAGCACTAAAAATGGTGTTTTAGCTTTGAAGTGTTTATCTCTGGACATGTTACTTAAAGGTGTAAAGTCATTTTCAAAAATAACAGTTTTGACAGTGTACTTTAATTTTAGTGTCTTGTCCAAATTTATAACACGTACTGGTACATGTGACTGATTACATGTACACCGTGTACCCCTAAATTGTGTAAGTTTCCAAAAATTACCACAGCTGAAGCAATAAAAACCTTATGCCTCACATGCCATCGCGATGATCTTCCATCAGAATTGGTCCAAATTGGTAAGAAACCCTAACATGTCGCCATCCACACTGTTTACGCAGTGGCCGATTTGTACTGTACCATTCTTTCTTCTTGTTGGTATGCTGGATGTAAGGAGTGAAAACGTTTGTGTTCATGAGGTTTTGTTTACTATTGACATGTACACGTATGTGTACGTGTAGATGTGCAGTTACACACAGTGCACTTCACATGTGCATGTTGGCTTTGTGTGACATTTGACTTTTGAATAATGAGGGCAGGTGCACAAGAACTATAGATGGGGGGGGGGAGTGTGTTAATTTGATACTGTGTGTGTATGGGGAGCAGGGAATGGCCATATACATGTATACGTGGGTAATTCCAGAAATTAGGGGTCCTTTTTTTGTGTGTCCCTGTAACATCTGACATATGATTTTGTAAGTTCAGAACACATTTTCTAATTTCCAAGAGTGATGAATTAATGCAGATTACCTGCCAAACAAACAGTAATAGTTTGTAATTCTGGTGGTATTTCCATGTCAAATAACAAAGGTCAGATGTAACAGGGACACAAAAATGTCACACTTTTGGACCCGTAATTTCTGGATTACCTACATACAATGTACATGTACATGTGGACAAGCACACAGATGCACGTAAGTGTGCACTGTATGGTTCTACATGTAGCACACTTTGGCAGGGTTTGTACCTTTGAATGCACAGTAAAAGTTTATGTTCATGTACTGTATGTGGTATCTTCTGGTAGCACACATGTACATGTACCGCTATTACCAATATCTCTTTACCGGGCCATGATTAATTTATTTTTTCAGCTTGCCAGATTGGGCAGGCCATACCATAAATTTGCTTGCCCTAACTGGATCAACACTTGCCCCAGATCTCTCGGCATCCATGATTATTATGATTATTGAACTTAGGCCTACTGCATGCATGCAGTCTTTTATTTGGGAAAGAAAATCATTGTGCTTCCAATTATATGCCTCTCAAAAATAGGGTCGGTACACATAGGTCAGAATTTGGGGGGGGGTCAATTTTTTTTGTGGTGAGTTAATGGCATGAATGGGGATGACAGCTTCCAAAATTCTCTCAAAAAGAGATGAACACCTGTCTTAATCTGTGTAGAAATTTCTTGAGTCGACAGTTCACAAGAATTATGGACAATTCACACATTGCTTACTCAGGCAATCACAACAGCAAACTGGCTAACAATGTCCATGTATTGCGCGGTAAGTGTGTATAATCATTTTTAATGCATCCAGGCGATAAACCTTGTACCGTGGCAGGAAATCTATTGAAACACACTTGCTTCAAGTACGAGCAAAACATCCTCAAATTAAACTCATGAACACAGAAAATACATACATAAATAAGAGACCAAATTCTGTGAATTAACTTGCAGAAAACCTCTTGCAACATTGATTTTTTTTTCGACCTGTAGCTTTACGGTTGCATGCATGTACAGCCGATGTAGAGTAATCGAGCGGAACATGCAGCACATGTATAGACTGGTTCTGGTTGCTGTATTTCCATCATGCGTTCTTTTGCATGGGCGTGGCTTGATGGGAACCAGTGCAGCTTCATTAAATGCATTGAGATTTTCCCACGTGTTCTCACCACTGCGTCTGCAAAACGTGAATGGGAACTCTGGAAATTACGGAAGCTTCTTTTCAAACATTGCAAATATAAGTAGGAATACGCATAATAACAAGCATTTTAACTTGAGAAAAGGTTATTGAAAGATGAACGGGCACAGCTACCAGAAGTCAGAATTTTAATTGCTCTAGTGAAAATATTCTTTGCCCCGGGCTATCGGACCGGCGATTTGTCACAGGCTGCTTCTTACTCTCTTCCATCCTTTCTGAGTAGGGGAATATTGTACAGATGGTTGGTGCAGTCTCAGGTTGTGCACTAGCGCTCCACACCATCTGTGAGCATTACTTGATGTTATCAAAAATATCAATTTGTAGTCAGAACGTGTTTGTACTATAGTCAGTAGTTGGATGAATTTGTGGAAGGCAGCATTGTACCGTACACAATTATAGAAACATGAGACATTCACTCTTCTGTCTAAAAGTACATGTATATCTGTTGACTCTAGTATACTACTAGTATGTAAAACACTTTGAAGATACACACACTTGTGCATTGTGTGTACAAACATTACGCATTACATTATGTATGGCAAAAAAACTTCATTGAATGATAGGAGCACCTTTGATTAAAGTTGAAATGTGGTGTTCCCTTTTTTTTTGTCAATTTGGAAACATTTACAGGTTAAGTCTCTAAATTTACACACACTGTACTGTTCACGGGCATAATACACTATACATTTGTGTCTGATATAAATTACTTTTGGTTTTTTACATAATACATACACATTCAGAGTGATTCAGTCTTGAAAATACAACTTATTTTGTTGACAGCTTCGGGAGTAAGAAATGAAAAATATGTGTGTGGTTTAGTTCCATTGTTAAAGTGGCAAGCATGCATGGTGATTGGTTGTTTGTTCAATTAGCAATTTAGACTTCTTCAGTGGCAACTTAGGTGAGAAATATTACTGCACAATGGCACTTCAATTAAACTTAAACATACATGTTAATGAACGTGATCACTATGAATTATGTACATGCATGTATTCACAGCACACATGCACATGTACATGCTAATTACGGTAGACTCACCCATGCCAGAATATCTCTTTTGTATGTATGGTTCTGAAAAGAACCATGTGCTTCTTTTCTGAACCACACATGCTCCTGAAAGATATACATGTATCCTTGCATTGGTGCTACTGCAAACCTCAACGAGTAACTTGCTTCGGTACCTTCGCCATGAAAAGCTTCAAAACTCTGCATCACATTATTGCTTGCTTGCACATAACATATACTGGACCCAGTATCCTCCACATTCAAACATACTCGTATATGGACATGTACAGGCGACTGTTTGATAGAAGAGAAATCAAAAACTGCAATGTACGTGTACGGTTATATTTCTGAGGGGCATTTTCATGTACAGTACATGTTTGTTTGTCTAATACATGTATGTACAGTATGTTTGACATCTACAATGCATACGTGTACATGTAGCACATACATGTATAAAATAGTGACGTGCATGTACAATGGGGACTCCCCCCAAAAAATCCCGGAATATGAATTGCACAAAACAACACACAAACCATTCAGGATTTTCCATTACAAAAGATGTGATACTATAAACGTGATACCTTGTGCCTTTGTGGAATTTGTTTTTTGGGGAATTATGTAAGCAAGACATGTACTGTACAGTGTGACAACAAAGTTTTCCTCATTTTCTGTGGGAGTAATGTGTTATCTCTTCCATTGTTTTTGTCTATCCAGTTTGACTTTGCAATTTTATTAAGCAAATTAATTTCCATGAGACAGCAACCGAATACGACATACCCTGTGTGTTTTTCTGAGGAAAAAAATGGATGCACTGGACAAGAGGGATTTACCCAGGACCTTGTTTGTGAAGCTTGAGAACTCTATCTCTAATCAGTATTTACCCGGACTGCTTTGTTAGTCCTTCCCAGTAGCCCAGATAATTCACATCTGTTTGCTGGGGAATTCATGAATAATTGATTAACACACTTTCCAATGGGTTTGTTCTCCTTGCAGCCCATTAGCAATGCAGATTTTATTGTTCCTGTAGAGATTGACGGCACGGTCCATCAGGTAAGGGAGCCAGGCATTTCTGCTAAAAGGAGCATGAAAAAAATGAAAATTAATCTCAAATACCAGTACCTGCCAGGAGTAGACATCTCCTTGCATCGAGTTAAAGAAAGTCACCTTTTCCAATTTCATTGAAAGTAGTTAAGTCTTTAAATGATGGCTTGTTTTATGTATGGGAGAAGAATGATTGATTGCTGTCTAGATTTTCCGGTCTGAATCCAACCTCTCCGTTTGGATCATTATGATGAATCTATTCCTTCACAAATTTATTTTGAAAGGTGGGGGGGGGAGGAATCGGTCTTGCCCAGGGCTTCATATCGCATTCAAGCTTGTGATTTGTTGCCCACCGCCACAGATGCGAAACATCGTCTCTCACTTGATTGCCCCTCACAAAAGCTGTATTTCTGGCAGTGCTGGCATGGCTGTGCAGAATTTGCTGGTAATCACACAAGCCCAACAGCAACCTGTTCATTCTGAAATTCAGCTGCGTGGGCTTGCCCTGGCTTTGCCCTTGTTGATTTCCAATAATATCTAGGTCTACCCTGGTACCCCCTGGCGTTATTGTGTGCCCAGTTGAAATGTGCACTTATGCAGTTTTGTACACTAGAAGAGTGCGTACATATTGTTCATGGCAGCTCTTTTGTGTTCCTGTTGTGTACTTTTCAAGAAGAACTAGACCTTGACTTTATGACTCGGATGACTGTTTTTGACCCTGTAACATTCGTCTGTTAATATCTGGCCTGTCAGGCTTTGTTGGTGTTCATGATGTAAAAGAACAGATGGACATTATTTACAGGGTTTAGATAGTTGCTGAAGAAAGTGATGCTCTCCCTTCCATCAAGGAACATTTTCTACAGGCTGGCCCACGGTTTGCCAGAAGTGAAATCTGAATCATGTAGGAGCAAGTTCAATATTCAGACATGGCCCAAATAAAGCAGGTCGTATGCCATTGATAGCATCAATTCACGTGTGGGTTCTACAGGTATCAGTGTAGCTGTGAACATGTTCAAACTGGTCCAATCTCAGGTGCTTTGTTCTGGAATGAACCTTGCTCTTTTGAACTGGGTCATTGACAGCTGGCATGAGCAATGACTCGGGGCCGAAAAAAAAAAAATTGTCGCTGTTTTGGCACTGCGGGGAAGGGTGGGAGCAGATATCTCCTCCCCTTTTTTCCAGTTTGCCCACCCCTGCTTCATGGATGCAGTGCCAAGAATAAGTGGCTTATCATGCCCGTGTGTGCCACTTGTACCAGTATATTTTCAAAATATCTGCTGACACTGACCTTTGCCATGATGTTCACTGCAGAATCTTTCCAGTACATGTACATGAACATGCATAGCAGAATGATAAAGAAATGATTGAATTTCCTGTGCTTTTCTACACAGGTACATGTACCTGTGGCTCGTCCCAGGTACGTGTATTTACAAAGAGAAGTCTACTTTGTATTCATGCCTGTATCCAACAGCCTTTTGTTTTTTCCTATTCATCCGCAGGTGTATGTTTTAAAGAGACCGCATGTGGACGAGTTTTTAAAACGAATGGGCGAGCTCTATGAGTGTGTTCTGTTTACTGCAAGTTTAGCAAAGGTATGGTTGAAAGTGAAAGAAGATACCTCAGTATGTATAGTTTTGCACACAACAAATGTCACAGTGGCTTTTCAGCTGAAGGCAAAGCTGGATGTCGGAGTACACATGCAAAGTTCCACGAAATGACGACAAAATGAGGGAAATTGACAAGGGTTGGGGTGGTGTCAAAGTCTGCAAGGGAAATGAGATCAATCACAAACTGGCATTTTCAGGGCAGCTGCTAACTAAATGTGGCAAGGAGACGTTACCCAGAATCCTGTCAGGGTGATTCAAATGATGTCAAGGCAGTACAGACACAAATGTATGAACCAGTCTGCCGCATTTGTATGTACACGGTGAATGTATGGCACATATATCCACCCTACTCATCAAATTTACAGAAAAAAGCTCTTTCTCTGGTAAGACTACAAAGCAAAATGTAAGACATCTGTTAACAGATGTTGATGCTTCCTAAACTGAAGTACATTGTACATGTAAACCACATATAGAAAAATATTTGAATAAAATAAAGAATCCATGCTTGTACATGTCATATTTATAAAGACTGCTGGCTTTTTTTTTTTATTTCTCTGATTTGACAGTATGCAGATCCTGTGGCAGATCTTTTGGACAAGAGTAGTGTGTTTAGGTCGCGGCTCTTCAGAGAATCCTGCGTTTTCCACAGGGGCAACTACATAAAGGTATGAGGACCACAAGTCTCGGCCAACACTTGGGCAACTGCATTCCACCTGCTGATTTAGCTCAGAGACTTTTTAAAGACCTTTTAAAGTTGTTTGCTGTGGTTACCTTAGACTTTCTGTGAGACAGACGCTGAACATTCTCAGAAATTAGAGAGGGTTTTGCACACGAATGGTTATGCGTATGCATGTGTTTTGCTGTTAATGTTGTTGGTCTTTTTTTGTTTTGTTTCTGATATAAATATCTGACACTGAAAATTGCACTCTCCAATGAAAACCTCAGACATGCATGCATCTTGCTTCAAAACACTCTAAGATTCTGATTCACTCCATTTCAATTTTGTCATGCATAACAGAAGGGACAAAAAGAACAGGGAGAGAATGCTGTTTTACATTGTCATGCAGCAAACAAAATGTCATTTGTACATGAGCAGGTAGCATGTTGATTATAACCATACTGACACCAAAAGACACGCTAACTGATGACCTGCCCTGCCAGACCTCATCGCTGAAATCAGTGTGATGCGCTTGCACTTAAATGAAAAACTTGCTTCAGTGACGATGGTCACGGTTAAAGTGCACATGGATTGGCTGTTCTGACAGCTTCGGTGATGGGGGGTTGACCCTACATATTTACTCTTGCAGAGAAAACCTACAATAGTGTGTTTTGGTAGAACATCCGGCCTTGAAACCACCCGGGCAGGAAATGGACCGTGCAGGTCCGATATCCTGAAAGCCAGAATGCTGTTCAGATATTGGGTAGGATGCTGTGAGTTAGGGGTGGGTAGTCACAAAACAGACACTTATAGGTAATAACTAACAGCTTGTGACGATAGAGGGCGCACTGTGAGAACTGTAGGAAATGGCTTGCACAGCTCCGTTGGTATCAATATTGATGTTTGTGATAGCAAATGAAATTCAGCCGTTTGTCCTTGTAAAGCTATCAGTAAATGCGATTGGCTCGTGTTTGTACACCACAAGTGCATGTGACACAGGTTTATTGCCCGTTTTAGTACATGGTTACACTTTGTTTGAGATGTGTTGTGGTTGAAAATATGTGATAAGCACAGTAAAATGAGATCTTGAGCTATGCTTGCCACACATGGCTAGCAGAATGCTATGTTGGGGAGTTGCAGGTTTGAATTTTTCAGAATTTTAGACTCAACCCAACCTCAGTCTCCCCCAGGAGTCATGAATCAAATTGGAATCCCTTATTTTGTCTCTTTTGTTTAGGATTTGAGTCGACTGGGCCGAAAATTAGAACGAATCATCATTATAGATAATTCACCCGCTTCGTACATCTTCCACCAAGACAACGCGGTAAGAATAACTCCAGTATGTACATGTATGACCCCCAAACTGCCTTATTTTGGCAACATTGCTGTTTACGAATGTTATTGCTTATAACAGTCATTTTTCTCATGGTTCCATGGTGTCAAAGAAACAAAGTGTTCCTCGTTGCGTTAAAAATTGATTGCGCCGGACACAGAGTTTCATAAGATTTCACCATGAAGTTTTATTCAGGTATGTGGGTCTAAAATGCGTCGTTTTCACAAACCCACTTCCACTACTGCCTTCCCATTAATGTCAAGGTCCAATGGGTGACTTCAGTGTACATGTATGTATGTGGTTTCTGCCTCCATACTTCAACATGAAAAGTCTACATGTTCAGACATCAGTGACTTTTTTGCATTTTTTTTTCTCTCCGGAGATCGGACTGTTGTTTGTGGTCAAGATACACCGTGAATATTTAACGTGAATTTTTCGGAGACAAAATTCCAGTCATGTTGTTCTCTTTCCGGGGTTGTTCCTGGAAAGTGTTGTGGTTATACAGTGTACAACTTTGCTCCAAAATGTTGTATAGCAAATTTGCTATACAGTTTTCTTTTTGTGTAGCAAAAAAATTGATTTTGCGTAGCAATTATTTAGTTATGTATTGTAATTACAAACCAGTTAATTAAAAGTTAAAAACTGGATTTTTGGGCGTTTTGGTGGGTCAGGTAGGGAAGATCAGGTTTTTTTTAATGTGGGCTACAAATACGCACAGCCAGAGGAAGACCAAATTCAGTGAACTCCCGTTGTACATCCTACTTGAGGGACTTTGGTTATTTGAATTTAACATTATGTTAGAGTTGACACAATTCATGCAAATTACAATACACCTGCAGCGTTGCTACGTTTTGTCACCATCATGTGCATGCAATCAATCCTGGTCAGTAAGCCTGTGCTCGTCCACAGCAGGCTTCAAGAGCTACGGCTGCATCTATTGTTAGTGTGTCTCCATGTATTTTTAATGGAGCAAAGACATAGACCTAGCTCAGAGACCTTTGTCAGGGAAATGTTTTTAAATGACTGCACACTACTGGGATATTGGGCCAATAGTGGCAGAAATCTATTGCCACCTTTTGATTTAAATGACGGCCACCTGGCTTTTCTTTGGCTCGCCCTGGTGTCTTCTTGCCCAAAATGATCTCCTCCGGTGCTTGAAATGGACAACGTTTGGCTCAGATGAGAAGTGACAAGAACAATCCTATGATACTGCTGAAGAAGAGCTCACCGGGGCATAGATTCCGTCGCTTAGATCAAATCTGTACAGTGGAGATGGAACTTGAACCGATCTGTTGACTTTGTGTGCTTGCCCCCCTAGATTCCTGTGTCATCGTGGTTTGATGACATGAGTGACAAAGAACTCTTGGATGTCCTTCCCCTCCTAGACCGTCTAGCCAAAGAGGACGACGTCTACAAAATCCTCCGAAAGGAAAACCACAACCATATAGTCGCATAGCACCCTGTCAGTAGGCTTCAGTCTTTATTTTCACTTGTTTTTTTTTTTTAAATAAAGCTCAACAGTATTTTGTATTAATGATATGGATCGAATAGGCACCTGGGTTAACCTGAACATTACCAGACATGAAATAGTCGTATTGCTGTGTATGCTGTTTACGAATGCATCTTTGACTCTTTTTTTTTCTCTCGCGTGCATTGCATATATGCCTTCATTATCACTTGTGACACAGATGATAGTGTACTTGACTTTTTCATGGGGCAGTTGATTTACTTAAAGAAGCGCATTTTAAAGTAGACTATTTTTCTCCCCTGCTGGATTTCCGTGTTGCTGTAGCTAGGAAGTTTGGCCCAGATCAGTACATTGGGTCTCCTGCAGTAGCCGATCAGGAACTGTGAAATGGGCCTCTCCCTTTTTTTCACTAGATTCATTCACGTCCACACCGAGACAGTAGGATCTAGGCGCCAAGTAGAACAGTTTGAGGACACTAATATTTACCTTTTCGGGGCACTGGAACGGGTCACTGGTGGGGCACTGGTGGGTTGGGGCAAGCTTCTGTCATGCTGGGCAGGCACCTCTCGCTAGTTGACGTACATGTAACTCAGAGGACCCTATGATCAAATTGTGGGTTTGTGATTGAACATAATGTGCTCCCCCCCCCCGCCCCCCGGAGTAACATTGATATTTTCCACTAGCGGAGAGCTCATCTTTAGGATGTGTTAGCAGGTGGTGATCCAGATCCTGTAGCACTTTGGGCCGTGTCACATAAAATAACTTCACTTTTGTCCTTGAAGGAAATTCAAGGGGAAAGACGCAAACCCCAAATACCACGAAATGCCACAAAGCAAGAACAAATTTATTTTTCTTGCAGACTATTTTTTTTTTTTTTTTTTGCAAATGTATTCACCGGTCTTGAAAAAAAAACCCAGCTAATTTCTGTGGGATTGTTTCTCCAGGGCACTGCTCATAACTTTCAGTGTGTGCTCTCCAATATCCATGATAACTCAAGCAGGAGTTTGATTATAAAGGTCTGTTCGTGGTTGAGGAATCCTCTTGAACAATGTGAGGCAAGTTTTCAGTGGGAGAGGGGGGTCATCCACCAAAAATACTGTATAAAGTTTTTTAATTGAATTATATGAAAAGGATAAATTTAATCGGAATGTAATGTACTTTGGGATTGGTATATGGTAATGCATTTAGCATAGTGATGATATTACAGTAGAGAAGTACATACAGGAGAGGACTTGTACTTAAAAATGGAGTGTGTTTCAAAATTACGAATGAATTTAACCCCAGTTCAGCACACCAGTTTTAATTTTGTATGATTTTTGTAATGTTTTGTTAGCCCAGAGAATTGATACATACATGTGTTTACATTTTGAGGAGATTTAGATTTATATTTACATGAACCGTACAAAATGAAAAGATGATCTGTCATTCATGTCTGCAGCAATGAACTGCAGAAGGATTTTCTTTCTTTTCATGGGGTGAGAAAATGTGTGCTAAGACTAGAGTCCAAACTATTTCATGGAAAGAAAAAAATCAATTGGGCACAGCTCAGGAAGGGACTTTCTGTAAGTGTGATGTGGTATTTATCACTCACCTTACATTCATTTACGGCTGAAGACAGCTGTCGGAAATATCAAACCATGAGTTACAATTTTTTTTAATGAGGCATTTTATGAAACGTGTTCAATTGTTATTGGTATTGTTTTTTTTAACAATACGTTTTCTGCTGTGGATTTTGCTCTTGGCGTTGAACTTTGCGATCATCTGCAGCTTTCACTTTTGTGAACTTCTCCTTACAAAAGGTAATCCAGGGCATGACGAGTCCATGCTCATGGAGATGCGGGTCAGTGCTTGTATTTGTGTTTTAGACTGATCAGAGAGTAAAGACGGTCCGAATTACTCAGCTTTGGCTTGAAATGATATGAGACTCTATAGGAAGTGACTATAGCCAGTACCATTGTATCGTGTATAATTTCAAGCCGCAGCCAAGTATTTTGGACGTGGCTTAAGGCCGTGTCAAAAACATTGGCAGCTGTAGACTGAAGTAACGTGTGCCCACGAGGGAGCCACTGGCTAGCGGAGTTCTACAGCCGCTCCCCTGGACGTGTCCATTACTCCCAGGTCCCAGCCAGTCAATTTGGACGTACGGCCCAGTAGAAGTCAGAGCTGAGCTCGGTGGGATTTGGGAGTCTTGGCATGAGTTAAGTTCGGAAAAATAACAGCTTTGGTACCAGATTACCCCCCCAAAAAGCAAGTCTCGTCCAAGTCTCATCAAGACAAGGTTGCTGGATGCTTGATTTTAGTCTAGAAAACACATTTGCACTTGATGTAGTTTGTACATATGAAAAAAGTATATATACATATATATGAATGTAAATTGGTGTGGCCTGTTCTGCAGAAAAACCATAAAAATTATTTTTCCTACTGATTTTTCTATGAGAAAGAAAAATACGAAAAAAAAAAAATAACACGGGGGAGAAATTATTAATAGCAGTTTATTGTTGATTGTTGTGGGATTTTTGTCTTCAGAAACCTGTGAATGATTTTTTTTATCAGAGAGTGAGACCACAGAAGTAGCATTGTTCGGTTTGGTGTTGAGTACCCCATAGGACGCTGTTCGATGACATAAATGTATTTTCCCTGTGGATTGTGTTTAAGGACTAATAATGAACATAGGCATAACTAGTATAGAAATTTGGTTTGCTTAAACCTACTCGATCAGAACTCTCATCAGAAAAGGACAGAAATGGGGAAAATACCAACCTCTAGAAAAACTACAGACTGTAGGAATGTAAAGGGGGTTGTAGTCAGTTTTGTCAATTCTGTTGCTGGAATGTTGTCTCCAACCAAAAGGACTTGAAATCAGAATAGTTCTAATTCCTGTAGCAAAGAAGGCCTTTAGTCTATTGGCAACATACTCTGTAGTCAGAAACAATGGCTGCCCTCACTTGATAGAGTATTTCTCACTAGATCTGTCAAGAGGTGCCCTGTGTAATTAAGTGACTTAAAAGATCCCTTCAACAGAACAAAACTGATGGTTCATTTACAGAAATATTTGTACACAACAATGCTGTTTTGACTGGAATGTTGTCGGGTTTCAATTCAAGTCCTGTCTTCCAAAGAGAGAGTCAAGTCATTCAGTTGCAACGACTCGAGTCGAGTCAGTGAGCCATATGGGATTGGAGTTTGAGTTGCTAGGAATTTAGACTTGCATCAATGAGTACACAGAAACAAGTAGCTCTGTAAATATCAGCAGTCCCATTACAGCACTGTACCTAGAGCTATGGAATTTCTGAACTTCCGGGCTTTCCTGTTTGTCCCCTGATGAGAGAACTGAAAGATTCCTTTCCAAAAAAGTTGACATTTTACCAGAAAATACCTTTTTATTACCAAAATTGTATTTATCATATTTGTGAAACATCCTTTATTGAATCTGCGTGAGTAGCAAGTTTCTGTAATATAATTTCTTTTCTTTACTAAATATCCAGAAGTAGAGAACAGACCTAGAGCCAAGTACATACAGCACCAGTCACCTATAAATCTTAATGCATGTATGACAAAGTACACACATATAATTTAGCCCAGTATATTAACGTGAAAGTGTACCATAAACAAAGGTAAATTAGTTATTGCCATATTCTTAACAGGAACCTTTTTTAGCCCTTCGACCTCAATCTTCCAAGAAACTTGATGGAATAAGTTAACCAATTGATCAGTAACGAGAAAAGAATTCTTCTCGGCCATGCTCCCTCATTTTTTCATATTCCATCATGTATACTTTTAAATTGATGTTGAACCAAAGAAAACGTGGTCTTAAATTTGTTCAGTTGTGTAAATTTCTCTTTTTAAAAAATTTTGTTTGAAAGTATCCTTACTTATCCAATTTCCGTAATCTGCCGTTTATTGTAATCACGCTTACCTTCATACTCAGTTGCATTTTTCTTTAATGCTTGTGTACGACATTTTTTTTTTGGTTTCAATCTAATAAGCATCACAGTGAAATCACATTTATGACATGCATGTACTTCTGTAAAAGACGTGTCTTTAATCCTGCTACTCCTTCCGAAAAATATTTTAAAGGCACTGAAGAATATCTTATAAACCAAAATCAAGTGAGCATCTTACCAGAAGGTAGAAACACAACAGCAGTGTCTACACGGGGAAAAATCATTTCTGTCGGAGTTCTCATTTGTGGATTAACAAAGCGGGATAGATGTTAAACACCTGTTGTAACAAATTGATTCCATTAACAAAAAGCTGTGTCAACCCCCTCAAGGTGAAATCGACTATGTGGCAACACACCAGTTGGTCATTCTATAAATTTGGGATCCAATTTCTTCCCGTCCCCGTTACATCTGACACATGATTTATGAGGTAACACAAATTACCTGCCAAAAAAAGATAGCTTGAAATCATTGTCAGTGTATCCCTCGTCGAATTACACAGGGGACAGAAAAATATGTCACACCTGGGACGCCAAATTTATAGTATGACCCCTGTGCAAAACAGCAAACGAGTTACACCTGATGCCCTTGTTTGATACTCCTTGACAAATTTGATTTCAATCATGTGTCATATTGTCCCAAATGTTCACCATATTGTATGAATTTTTCGTTTAAGTAATACGCCATTATTTACATTACATAGCTTAAAACCTCTTAAACTTCGGCAGTTGCATTGGCAGTTGCAGTTTCAGTCATGTTATTAATGATCAGCAAAGGTAATGACTTCCTTATTCATGGTCAGAGAGCCTGCATTTGGGGAAGTTTTCGAAAGTGCTCGTTTGAAAATTGGACCACAAAATCAGTAGAGTTTCTGCACCACAATTGGAACAGAATGCAAAACGCTCTCAAGATGCACTTGTCTGTTGTTCATTCTAGTCATTTCATTTCTTTTTATTACATCAGCAACAACTTCCAATTTTAAAACAATGAAAAATGCCCTGTCTGCAGATTGTGTGCCCATTTCATTTACATGTATATGAGGACGTACCAGTATACTTTGCTGTGCCTATCTGTAATCAAGTTAGTCTAGGACAACAGCATAAACAGTTGGTTTAAGTACAGCTTGGGCTTAGATATTGAAGTAGTATCATGCTCCGGTATGTCTGTGCATTTCTTTTTTTTTTCTGGGGAAAGTATCCATTAGGTTAAGGGTGCACATATAAAAATAAGGGTTTTCTGTTTTAGGCTGCATCCGAATCTGTTGTCTAGAGCTACGTCTACGTCCATTGGAAATGTGTGGAGAATAGACCTAGCCATAGCTCTGGAAGCCCGTTTAGGACATGGCCTTAGTCTTCAGCAAATTTGGTACTTTTTGCCTGTGAAACTAAAATTGTACATTTTACAATGATTCATACTAACAGAATGTCACGAGAGTTGAACAGATGCTCTGACGTTTTGAAAATAAGGACTTTAGCTTTGCATGTTGGCCTTTGTGATTCGTAAGGTTGTACGAAGAAAGACTCCATGGAAAGCTAAGAGAAATGAAGATTGAACCCGAAGGTTATGCCAACAACCTTCCCGTTGGACCTTGGGTTGGATTCTTTTATTTACTGAATTCCTGTGTTGACAATGTTGGTTAAACTACTGGTGTACTGACCTCGCATCGTCACACTTGAGGTCAGTTTTATTGTCTGACTTTGTTGTCAATTTGGTTTCATTTTTGCTCTTCGGAGTTCTCAAGAGGCTCCAGATTTGTCTGATCCCAAGAAACCGTGGTCTGACATGTTACGCAGAGGCATGTCGTGAAAAACTATTGTGTATTTTCTTACGTTACTGGACAAAATTGAGAAGATCCTTAATCAGAAGAGGCCTGGGCCAAACTCCACAGGGCTTCTTCAGCTGACCTGATGCAGATTTATCAGGTATAAATCTACGGTGAGGGTGCACATGGCTGGTTGCCCATGTGTTTGCAAAATTTGGTTGGTTTGGCATTAGCTCACATTGTGATCTTGTGATCAGAGTGGGAGCACTTCAAATATTTATGAAAAAAAAAATTAGGGTTGTTTCTTGTCACTGCCCTAACAGATATAGTGACTCTTTGAATTATGATTTTTATGTGGAAACTGGTACAGATTTAGCAAACGGAGAATTGACCTCTGTAGTGTGTAAGCTGATTGATTCTGTAGTGTTACATAGTGCCCCCGAACAAAGATATCGACATGAAAAGAGCCACCAATATAAGGCTGGATAGCTGAGTTGTACAGTATTCCAGGGGTCGCAGGGTTCAAATCCTGCTTCAGTCAATTTCTTTGTTCATCTTTGTTACATTTCACATTGTTTCAGTGAATTGAAAACTTGAATTGAAACAAATTGCAGCACTTGTACAAACTACAAAGAAATTCCATACGGGCGATTCACAATAGTGCGCCACCAAGAGTTTGCAACGCGTTGGCCAACCATAATGCGTGAAATTTGTCGACCCTTTCCAAATGCGCATTGGGTCAACAAATTTCGCGCATTGTGATTGGCCAATGCATTGCAAACTCTTGGAAGCGCACTATTGTGAATCGCCTGTATTGAAAATTGTTATTCTGTACCTACCGTGCAACCCCATACAGCCAAACACTACTTGCAATTTTAGTCATCTGAGTTTTAAAAGTGTTCTGCATTGCATTTCCCACTTGTGAATTTTTATGCACGAGACTTTTTGGGTTTTTTTTCTTCTCTCCATTAATCAAACTGTACAGTAAAACGTGAATTAACACAACATATATATTTTTATGTAGAGGCAATAATGTTTAACCCTGAGGATGTTCTGAGTTAATTTGGGTTCAGTGTGTATAGTATTTTCTAATAAATTTTGGACAAAAAAAAATGGGGGAAGAAAAAAAAATTTACCAGTAAAACTCGTGTATATATATACCAAATAGCAAAACTCTGTTTTACTTTCTTGGGTGGATTGCGTTCTCCTCATGTTTGTTGGACGTTTTTTGTAACCTGTACACTTCCACAGAAATTGAGAAAAATGTAATGAGAGACATGTAAAATTAGATTTACCTTGAAATGTTTTGTAGTAGACTTATGGGTACCCGTACCATGGAAGTTACTTCTCTTGGAATTTTACTTCTAGGGCTCGCAAGTTGAGTAACTTTTTCCCGTTGAATACTTCCTGTGGATTGGTTTTTTTTTTTTTTTTTTTTGCATGTGAAATGAAACGAGATTTCATCCGTTTCAGTGCATGTTCCCAGTGTTTTCTTAACCTCCAAATTCCCAGGAATTTTGAAGGGAACAAAATTGAACCAGTGCATGTTACGGTACATTGTATGGAGATGTTTAATGCTTTTGTTGTCACTGCCGGTTATTCTAATCTTCCTTGTTTGCGCAAAGTATTGAAAAGAGTGGGATTCATTCATCTCCCACTGAAATTACTTGAGTTTTCTATCCCAACCGGTGGAGTTCACGCGTTTGACTTTTAGGATTCTGCAACTTGCAAAACAAGGACAAGAAATGTAACTTCCAAAATGGCATCTTCTGAACCTAGTATTAAAATAGGCAATTGTATCACAAACCAGTTTTGTATAATAGCTGGATTTGTTGGTGGAATTTAAGTGAAGCTTGTATTTGTTCATACACTTAAAATCCAAATCAAGGGATGCATTTGAATAAGAGTTTGAATCCAAAATCAAATTGCACATGGTTTGGCTTGTTACTTTTTCTTCCGAGTGATGGTGTTTCCCCATTCATGCATTGTTACAATATTGGAGAAAAAATAGATGCTGAAATTACCAAAAAGTAGTCTCGACCAAACAGCTACCTCTGGTATGTCAAAAATGAATTACAGAAATAGAAAACATTTAGTTTACGTGAAGTATTTCAAAATAACAAATACGTAACTGTTTCAAAAACATCATAAATTTAATGTTTACCCCATTAATTGTGAAGCCAAAATAACTAAAAAGTTCCTGCGTTTCCCTGCCCACAAAAATCCCCTTTTGGCCATTTGCGCTCCCAGGCTGATTGGATGTCATCGCCAGAACGATACACGTACAGTGTACATGTACATAGTGCACAGTACATGCAGCATCGCACGCAACAGACCACTTTGTGTGTGATGTAGCTTGGCCAACCGGCAAACCTTGTCTCAGTTCAAGATAGAAATTAAGACACAATCTTACCGTTTATTTCTTGAACTTAAACAGTGTTTGCCCGTTGGCCAAGCTACATGAAACACAACGTGGTCAATCGCGTGTGATACTTCATGTACTGTGTGCTACGTACATGGACAATGTGCATCGTTCTGGCAATGACCGCACTCCCAGGCTGATTGGATGATATCATTGCTAGAACGATGCAAGGGAAAATGCAGGAATTTTTTACTTACTTTGGCTTCACAATTAATAGGGTAAATATTAAATTATGGTGTTTTTGAAACAGTTCCATATTTATTATTTTGAAATACTTTACGTGAACGAAATGTTTTCTATTTCTGTAACCCTTTAACATTCGTGAAAATCCAACTATGGAATTGCCTAATAACATTTATGATTACAAACTAAATACATGTATAATGCAGAACTCCCCAAGCAAGTGCCTAGGCCACGTTGAAGCAAAAAAAAAATTCAAAGCGCACCACCATGATGGCTCTGTTTATAATCAGCATGTTTCAAAAAAGTTTATTTCTGTCTCAAGGCACAAACTAATAGGCTTCTACGTAAACCAAACACATGCAAAGCACTACACTATCCCCCTGCAGGTATCTCATACTGCTACAGCAATACATTGTATTTCTTTTGTACCACTGCTTATGATCAAGTGCATTGGCATTACAACCATGACAAAAACTTGCACCACCGAAAGTTTCTGTCAAATATGAACTGTATTTAAGACGAATCAGGTGAGAATTCGTGTAAGGCAGCTTTCACATATTCCATCCAGCTACAAATGTTCTACGAAGGAATGTGTTGTGAAGAAGGCACAGGTGCTGAGATGTAAGAAAAATCAGGAGTTTTTGCATTTTGCAGCAAACGGTTTTGACTAATGGAACAGAACTAGAACGTATCTTTCCTAATTGAGGTATTTGAGAAATAGCAATCACTATTTATCTGAGAGGTCACTAAAAACCTCTGGCTGCACTGTGTGTACAAAGCTATATGTACAACTAAAGGGTGACTGGCTTTGGCGTGAAATACCAAGCAATGCAAAACCAGGCATGCAAGTGACTACATAGGAAAAATTTGTAGGAAAACTTCAAGACCAAAACAGACACTTTGAATGGGTACAAAATCAAAAATCAACACAAACAGATGTGAGTGAACTTGCCCCAAATTTTTGAAATCAATTGGCCATTATGCATCAGCCAAACAATCAGATCCATGTTCTGTGATCAAAGGCTCGCTTCTGACAAGAGGACTTCAAAAATATCAAGATGACCACTTATTTTTAGAATCGGCGAGGTCCCACACGCATTTTGCCATGGCATTAGGCAAAACTGTGACTCACAAAAATAATTACAAATTAAAAAACCACGCACAAAATATACAAACAAAACTAATCCACACTTCCTCCAAAAAAAAGAAAGTTACTTGAGTGACCTGAAATATCACAAATCTAAATTGGGAAAAAATGACAGGTTTTCCCAAGTTTCACTTTGAAATTCCAACAGAACTGTAACTGAAATTAGGACACGAATGAAGTACATGGCAATGACCATTCACCATGAAATTTGCACAGGGGAATCCAAAAGCAGAATAACGGACTCATTCTAATGCCCGCCGAGCTTCAATATTACTCTGAATATGGGGAAAAACATAGCAGTTACAAGTTTCCACCTTTTGTACAATTTCTCTCCATGGAATTTAAAAATTTGTCATTTCCATGATAACCTTTGAAATTTCACGTTTCACTTTTCCGGCATCGGGCCTTGAATTTGTATATTAGAGAGTAGCAGTTCACTCAAACATATTACTATGTCATGTGAAACATCAGTGAGTGTACTCGGATGTAAAGAGAAATCAGCCCATGTGAAAATTACAACTAAGTACAATGTGTTTTTACAGCATCAACTTTTGACTTGCACTTCTACAAATGTTGAAAAAAAAGGTCATCCCCGAACAATACTAACCATGATCGAAAATCTGCGTAAATCTGATAATTTCTATGATACATGTGATTAAACAGCTGCAGCATGCAGCATATAGATTCTCAGTAAAATCTGGCGCTTATTCTGAAAATTCAATATTGTGAAATCCAAGGCAACAAGTGTAGGCGCGCCTTTGATGCTAAAAATAGTTGTCAAATCTGCATTTTATATAATATATGTTATAAGCAATTTCAATATCTATCTATTCTTTCTAATAAGCTATCAAATTGCCATTATATTGCTATAGTATTTCATCTATCAAACAATATCTTGTGATAAATAGACTGCTGATTTCAAAATATAAGTCCAAAACCAAATATCCCCAAACCTTGAAACCATAAATTTCAAGCAATGCAATCACCTTGTTTGCCTACATGTTACCAGCTGTGCCAAAATGCATGGGTGAAATATACTTAGTCTCAATATCTCTAAAATAATCGTGTACAAAAGGCACTTCACTATTTAACACCCATGATGCAGACTCCACATTCGTGCAGTGGTTCAAGCTTATAACCAGCAATACAAAATTGTTCATGGGTACAAAGGCCCCACATCAGTCGTTCTCAAATATTTCAACGTGTGTGTGAGGGGGTGATACTTTCTGCAGTTTTGCAACCTGCAGCTTTGAAGCCGTGCCTTCAAACATTCCATATCAGACAGTATAACTGACAGATGGCCAGCTCTACGGGGAAACCGCTCAGGCTAACAAACAGCATCTGAGCATCAGGGAATGGATTGGTGAGAAAGACACAAAAGGATGCAACGCTGTGAAAGACAGTGTGGGAATTTCCACAGTTTTGTCGCATCCCTTATGAGTAATCTGAATTTGTCTTTTATAACCGCAAATGAAAGGAATTTTAGAAAGCACAAAATGTACTAGAAGGGTCACTAAATATCCCTTCACTCTTGGAAGGGACGAAGACATTCTCTACTATGCTCACAAACAAGTTGTATCAGCACTTCAAATGTTAAAATTATACAATCTACAACATGACACACCTTGCATTTTCAGAAATTGCCCATGTGCCAAAATTCACTGAGCAAAAGAAAAAAAGGGAATCAGCCTTCCTTTTTGAAAAACATTGCCAGCCAGACACTTCTTGCCTAAGGGTTGTGTCTGAATTGGGTATTTCTTGGCTGTCAGCTTTTTTTCCTGCCATGCACACTACGCAGTAATGAGCCGTAGCCGTTGACTGAAATGCACGAGTCCAGATGAGGCCACGACGTTGTGTCCAAGTCCGGTTCCCCGACTTCAACTTTCTGAAGCTAGGCAAACCATGTGGACAGGCACCAGACTGAACACAAACTCCAGCCGGGCCATAAACTTTCAAAGTCAAAAACGACTGCACATACTTCATTCTAAACTAACTTCTGGCCTCTACAGCAAACATTTTGTCTTTTTCTCATACCTGAGCCATTTCTTAAATTTCCACAAAACTTGTCATGCACATACATTCATGGTTATTTCCACCATGCACCTCGAAAGAAAGAACTTGAAAAACAACATGATCCAAAACTGGCAGAAATAAACAGCTCCAATGGTTTCAATAACGCATCACATTAAAAATAACTTTTTCCTGCTTTTATGATATTTTCATCCTCAAAGAGCCTGTCATCAAATTTTAACATAATAAACGCGCAAGTCAAAGATTTAAAAGAAAAAAGCATAAATTTAAATCCCCTAAGAAACAAAATCATTCAGACTCCTGCAGCTTTGGGGGTAAAAAAATATTCCCCTCACAATGTTATCAAATAACATATCTGTGAGTTATAGCCATGTAGCGATTTTTTTTAAATAATCAATTGATGCAAAATACACTCACTGGTGCTCACCAGTTCTTTGTTTAAAACCAAATGCTACACAAACCCTCAATGAACCATCATTTGAGGAATATTCAACACAACTACTGTTAATTGGCACCAAACCCTCCAATATGAACAAAAACAGTTTAAAGCTACTCCTTCAGAGAATTCCTAGCTCTTTGAGGATTTGACTACCACCTCGGTGCTGGATAATGATCAGATCGACGACTCACTATCGCTATTTGCTCTAATTCTTTTCTTCCCTTGTGACTCTGGTGAGCATTTCTTTTAAAACAGCCCGTTGTCCTTTCGCAATTTGTTTCTTTTCCACCCTGGCAGCTTGACGTAGTCCGGAAATTTCATCTTGAAGACCTTCTCAAAGTCAGCAGCAGAGAGGTGATACTGAAACATACAATAAAG